CTAAAAGAAACTCAATATGTAACAGTCACAAGTTCACGTCTACTAAATCCACTACTGGATTTCTGAATAAAAGAAAAGAGTAGAACAGCAAGTACTTCAGAATACATTTTATTTGTGTTCATCCTAAAATTGATGAAACTGTCAAATCACATGAAAAAAAACAGTAGAACAAACTTGAAGATGATTAGAGTACTTTGTTTATGGTTTAACTTCCAAATTCAAATCAATACATGAAATGAATTGCAAAATATACAGGGTATTTAGATAAAGACAGCGTAAACGACCACAGTTTAGTAAGAATATTTGACATATTCTTTCGTTATAGATTCTTACATGACCATCAAGCCTTGTGGACTCATTTAAGGGTATCATTGAAGTAACAGGAAACCTAAACAAACAAGGTTAACGATAGGAATGATAAGTATCCTTGGTTGTTGACTCATGTGAATGAGGTTTGGCAAAGGGATTTGGGTGCTGTTGGGTTCAGCCTCAAGTCTCAAGCGTTCAGGATGCTGATCCATACTCTGAAATTTTCGATCTCGTCCTCCCTGTTGGCAGCCTTCAGACAAAGCAGAAACCATTCGTTGTAGAAGCACCGATCTCTGTAGTGAAAAAGAACTTTTTGAAAAGAAGTATTCTGGATGATTTTGTAGTGACATATGGGTGGTAAGCACCGTAGTGTACCTTTAACCGGGTCTGTCTGTTTTCACTGTACATACTATCCCTCAGTGCATATTAGTTAATGGCAGAGATTTGAAAAAAAGTAAGGCATCTGAAGAGATTATACATAAGTACATCCGAAACACATTTTCTATACAACATCCAATATTAAACATTCTCTACCTGTGGACAAACCCAAAAATTATGTGGAAACATACCTACACAAGCCTTCCAACACTGGCAATCGGAAGATATTAGCACAGTCCTCACAAACACGATCAACTTTTGTGTACATCTCACGATTACCCATTCTGCCTGGACAGGTGCCGCCCATGAGACTGGCGGAAGCGGTGCCGAAGAAGAAGCTTGTCGCATATAGTACAATCACTATCGCCAACCATGTCCTCTACAGAGAGAAAACAAGATTTTTAGAGGATAGCCGATAGGATTAAAGAATCGATAGACACTATATTATTATGGAACCAATTTCTGCGTACATGCAATTCTCTTAAACCCTTACAGTTGCCAGTCGGTACATATGGGAATACATGCAGACACCAAGTAAAGGTAAGGTGTAAAATGGAAGTGTATCCTGTGAGGGCGGGAATGCAATGCTATAGCGTGTCTGCTTCCATCCTTATATACGGCATGTTGCAGTGCCAGATCACTAATTACGCCCACACAGATGACTTGAATATTCTAAATTCGTCCAACACCCTTCCGATTTTCTAAAAAGTGCATCTCTAACTTTTATGCAAGCGTGCTGGTAAACATGACGTGGATAAACTGCTGCATGTTATTATCACCCACGAATACTGCCATACAAAGAACAGCACTATATTTAGACAAGTGAACGGATGAACATACATATTTTATGCAATTATTAGAAACTGCAATTTGATAACTAAAGTAGAGATGGACATATACGGCTTAGAATGCTATCCATAATCATGAATTTCTTATATTGATTTTTGTTGCCGGCTATTGAAGAATTTTCTCTTATATACGATATTATTAAAGATGTGCACTGGAGGGAGGACGGCAAAACAAACGCATCAATTTTTATTCACAAAGATGGAAACTGATTCTAATGAAGGAGATGTAACATGCACTAATTTTTACTTTTGTTACCAGATATAACAGACATTCGCTCATTACTCTCTGATGAAATTACCTTTAAATAAGATGTAACAGAGATCCTCACTCGTATTTACGTTAACTCTTTCGGATCCACGCTCTCCTTCGGATTCATTAGCGACTGGCGAGAAAAAATTCCCTGCTCCCCCTACCCCGCATTTCGGTGATCCCCTTCGGACCGTCACGGAGCACAAGGATTTACGTGTCTCCATTAATACATAAAGTCTGATCGATGAAGATGAAGCAAAGTTATATATTTGCTTCATTGATAGGCTTTTAAGTGGCTTTCTTGGATCGACGTAATCATTAAAAAGGTAAACTTTTTAATTTTTCACATTTTGCTTTCTTGTGATTATAATAGTGAATTAGTTTATGCAGAGTCCTTACATCCACGATGCACTGGAGCATTTAACATCTAAATGTTTTATCCACTACTCAGTCATTCAAAGACACCGCCCCTTTCAAACACTTTTTGTAGTGTTTCTCAGCTTCTTCCATCTCACCACACCTCTAAATTGCATATCTATATACCAACGCTTCCTGTTGTTTGAACTTTATGCATATTTTTAGCGATATATGGTAGCTTATCATCATGGAGAACACCATAAGCAGTCTGGTCAGGACCGCCAGTCTCTTAAGTAGCACGCCCTTTCAAATTTTCCATAATTGGAAGGAAAATACATTATATTGTACATACTGTAAC